GGGTACTTTGTCTTTGGATCTTTTTTTTAAAAAACCCACTAAATTGTTCAATGATAAACCGGTTTGAATTGTAGCCTAATTTTGAAACAAAGAAGAGAGCAGCGAGTAGATTCATAATAAGGAGAAAAACTCTAGTTATATGTAGAGGCAAAATAAAACCGCAACTTCCTATGTATTTTATTGTGACATTTGCTACATTAAATAGGGCAATGTTATAGAAGAATAGGACATATTTTATTCTCGAATATAGATTGACCAACGCTTGCATTATTCCATTGAAACCAGCAGATATCTATCGCTAAAATGTTTGGTTAAGCTCAAAATGAAAATAAAACAATTTTGTTTTCTGGCGCAGACTAAAAGTTTATTTGCAGGAAGTATTTTCTAATATCAAAAAATTCTTTTTAAAAACTGCATCTTGCAATTCTGCAATATATATGAGTTAATAGAGATTTTAGTTTGTCTTTGCCGAGTTTGGGATGATTGCAAACTAAATGGAAAGGCCATGAACTTCTATTTGTTTTTTTTTTTTTGGTTTCAATTCATATCTGAGGTATTTTTGATGTGACGGTTTTTTGGGTCAACCTATTAGAAAATTTGAAAAGATGTTTGAAAAAAAATAGAAATAACATGAGAGACTAATGTTATTTTAAGTTCTATTAGCTACCGTTGATGCATTAAAAACATGCGACTGAAACATCAGCAGCGCGACAATTAATCAACTCAAAAGATCAAATAGATACGATGAGTTTCAAAAAATTGCCACCCTAAACTGATACATTTTTAGTAAATCATTACATATTTGTTTTCCTCATTAAGAGTTGCTACTTATTGCTCCGTCCAATCAAATGATCGAATAAAAACTAATGAATCTTAAACTTTTCTCTGTTGTATTTTAGAGCTCAATTGAATCAAACTATCATAAAATCAATCAAATGAAAATTCTGATGGAGTTTAAGCCTAATCAAACTCCATAGCGGCTAAATGAGGGAGGTTTGGCTTTTTTGATTGTTAATTTTGAGAAAATGATAACGTGTTCCTGTTTAAATTCTTTTGTTGCCATTAGTACTCTTATTTTTTTTGTATTCTAAATGCCTTGAACTTTATCATACTACAGGACAGGATTCTCCAACCCAAATGTGATTATTGCGGGCTGTCCTTTTAAAAACTTGAATGTTTCTATATCTTTGATTTATTGTTTGCTTAAAACTCTTTAGAAACGGAACTTTTTTTTGTTTTTAAGGCTTTTTTGAAAACATTTTTACTTTCAGATTAAATGAATTTGTCATACCAAATCGAACTTTTTAACTATATTCATTCACTTTAACAACCACAAAACGAGATGTATAGTATATTATACTGGGCAGAAATCAAAGGTTTGTCACTTTTTTCAATCAACATTCAAGGTAACTGAGTTTAGTGATGAGCGAAAAATAAAATTTTCAATTCCATTTGAACTTAATTTATGTTTACCTTATGCTCACTGTTAGCGGTGTAGAAAAAAAATTATACGTTCAATTGACCCAAGAATCCAATTAAGAAAAATAGCTGCATGCTTTTTGGTTCTTCATTGATGACCCATGACTGAAACTTGATATAAAATATATGATTCATCAATGAAACATAGATGCAACATGTAGTGATGATTCCTTCAAGAAAAACTACTACAAAAAGAATATAATTTTTTCGTCATTATATTTTATTTGATATTTTTCTAGCGTGGACTATATTTGAATCAGAAAGTTTTGTCAAGAAAATTGACCGTCATCCTGAATGATGTTTTGAGCAACAATCATTTTAGAAGAATTGCGTAACGCAAACCTTGATATTCAGCGAACACATTAAAACTTTTTCATATAAAGACTTTTATCATATATAAGTTTTGTTCGATCCAAGTTTTCTCGAATAAGTCTTTTTTGAAAAAAAAACCTTGCAAAGTCTGGAAATATTTATCTAAAACTTAAGCGTTTTGGCTGCCTTGCATTCTCATTTCAGCTATTCTCAAACTTTCACTCTGGTCAAACTTGATCACGAAATCTCATGTGAAAAGTTTAAATCAAAAATTTAGTTGCGCATTTCTGCAAAATGAGTACAGTACGATCATGGTTGGAACATTGATGGAACATCACAGATTCATCAATAAAAAATTGCTGATTTATTGCTAAATTATTGTTGTCAAAATTATTGTTGTCATCATTATTTCATCAATTCAAAATCAATGTGTTTGGAAAAATGTGATTGATGAGCCTAGTTATAACACAGTTAACTTATGTGTTTTGAGTGGAAAACCCCTTACATGCTTTAAACGTTTGTCATAAAATGGTGCATTTCTGAATTGCATTTTTCCTCTTTCTAATCTTTTTGACAAAATTTAATTTTACAAGTTAATTTTGTCTTATCAAATTCAAACATTCTGACTATATTCATTCGTTCTAAAAATTCAAAAAAAGATGTACGGTAAAATATGCTGCGCAAAATCAAAATTTCTTCACGTTTTTTAGTGCAACATCTCAGATAACAGAGTTTACAAATGAGCGAATAACAAAAAAAACACACAAATTAAACACTTTTTTTGGTTTATTTTATATTTGATGTTAGGTGAAGAAGAAGATTCTTATACTTACGATTATCACTATTTTTAAGGTGAGCCTTTTATGAACGTTTGAAGAGGATAATTTCTCCAAAGAGTTGCGCAAAACACTTTAAAACTGATTCAAAAAACGTTTTAAAATTTAACTATAAATTTTTTGAAAAATTTAGGGATTTTTTTTTCAGCTCCGTTGGTATACATATCTTTGATATTTTCACAATTTCCATTCGAGCACGCTTGAATTGTTGTTGTTCCGACCAATGAAAATGGGGAGGAACTTTCTATTTGGGTTTGTTTTAGTTTTTTCTTTTTTCTTTTTGTTTTCCACGCAAAATTAGATAACACAAACTATTATGAGAATGTGCCGAATGATAAACATTAGTAAAGCCCTTTCTTTTGCAATTCGAACGACATTAAAAACATGCCAAAAAGTTGGCCCAATATCGAGAAAAACAGGTTTAAAGTTTTTGATTCTTGGTCTAAATTCTAACGAATAAAGCACTTACAACTGTTTTTGTTTAAGTTAGGTCATTAAAACTTAATTTTACTCAGGTGAAATTGTTTTTAATTTTTTGAGCGCCATCTGGAAACTGAAAAGTTGATAAGTTCGAAAAAAAATTTACAAGAGTATATAGAAAATGGTTTTAATTTTTAAATCTTGTTTTTGTTTTCTTAGTCATATTTCTACAATAATTGCCTATTTTACTATTACTGTCGAATATTCCTAAATTCCAATTTTTTGTTCAGATCTTTTCATCATACCACTCAGAAAATAACGACACCAATTTGGAGCAAAAAATTTTTTTCTTGTGGTTTTTAGACTATGGTCGGAACATTCTGTCCTACTTGCAAATTGTTTGTACGTTTGTTTATTATATAATTTCAAAGTTTTTTAAAACTGTTTTTGGTTTCTGCAAAGTAAATCAGAATCAAGCTGGCTGCTATATTGAAACTACTTCGAGAAAGTCCTTCATGAATTGGGGAATTTTTTGTGCAATTATAGTCCCCAAATTGTTCCAACAATCAGGTGAATCAATTCACAGAATTTTAACGCTAAAACTCACATTCATTATTCAGCCATTTTAAAATGTTAGTGAGAAAACTACAAATTTTTATCAACCGACAAATTTTAAAAGACTAGTCATATCCTAGAATCACTTCAATGTTCATACGCAGTCTGCCTGACATGCTATTTATTTTCGGCCTATATAGTTAATATTGATACTTCTTAATCTCGTATGTCGGTGCTTACTCTATATCTACTTCCGTTAGCTTCAATAACTCTAGAGAAATAGTGGTTGGCTGAAGCAGATTGGAGATGCTACTGTTGCCTTCAAGGTGCAAATGGCCGAAACAAAATTTAACAAAGGTTATCTTGATAATAATGAAACAAAGGGGGTGGATTCCCTGGGAATTGAAAGCATCAGAAATCAGAAATCAAAAAGTCCAGAAGACGTTATTGACATCGACAACTTCACATACTTCAATACTACCACACCGGAACTATTTTCCGAATTCCATTTCAGTTGATCAACCCGAAAACTTTTTTAAAATCAGAAAATAAGCCTTTGAAACCATTCTATAACAATTTTGAGGCGCGCAATGAAATTCGCACGCCTGCGCCAGCAAAAATGAAACTTTTTGGTCAAAATCTTGCAAAAAGTGCGCAGAACATTTCTAAAGGACGACAAAAAAAGTTGACACAAAAATTAAAAACAACAGTGGTAATAACAAGATCGGTATTTTGTATTTTAGGTGTTTAGGTTGATGACTTTCCCGCTCGAGGTCCACGACTCATGTTGCGATCGAAATGGGTAGCCGAAATGAACTTTCTGCGACCGAAATTCCATCATTCCGCAAGAGGCTTGAGTCGCAAAAAGTCGCAACATACCTAATTTGGGTCGCGCAAAATCGCAACATACCTAATTTCGGTCGCGCAAAATTGCAACATATCTTCTTTGGGTCGCGCAAAGTCGCATAAAATTTCTTCGGGCGCGCAAAGTCGCAACATACCCATTTTGAGTCGCAATGGTCGAAACATAAGTCCCCGATCTCGACCCGGGTAACAATGTTTCATTTTTTAATTGGTAAACAGTTTTTGGAAGTTTCACGCGTGAAACTTTTTTCTTCTTTGATTTAAACTTCTATAAAATTCAGTTAATCAGAGAAAAACATGCATGCATAACCCAATTGATAGATTTGAAATTGCTATAATTAATTTTCAAATTGTTTTTCGTTCAAATGTGAGCAGCAGTTTTTTTTTAAATCTAATTTTCACCTGTTCGTTTTTATTCCAGAAATGCACTTTTATTTACATTCTCCTCGTTAATTTGCCAGATGTGCACAAACACTCTACCAAGTGCGTGGAATTATCTGCTGCCAAGTAATTAATTATTAATTGACACAGGAATTAGTTGCTCATTTTTGATCCCGCGAAACAATTTGAATGGACAGTATTCAAACACCATTTCTTGTTTTCAAATCTAACTTGTCCAGAGAAGCGCACATTGAACTCCAATATTTTTTGAGCTTACAACTTTTGCAACTATTTTCCTCGAAGTAGTATTTCCCTAATTTTCTAGTTTAAACTCCAGCTTTTTTAGATTTGATTTCATTCAACTTTTTGAAAGTAAAAGCTAATTCTCAAAATGCCCCGCAACGATAACAGTTTCTTTAGAGAACCTCTCGACGGAGAACTAAGTGATGATTTGGACGGCGGTGGCTTTGATGACAACTTCGGCAACAGTGGCAACTTCAACGACATAGGACTGGATGATAGTCTGGCCGGAAGTAGACCAGCCACTGCGACCAGTGTTTTATTCCAGGTACTTTGTGGAATTTCCTTCTTCTACTTCATAAAATCTACAAAAACAGTTCTTGGTTTCAAAAATATTAATTGTTTATTTTTTCGGCCTTAAGATCATATGGATCATAAAAAATCCCATGTGTTCAAATTAACATCAGTTTTTCAAAGGCAATAACGTGATGAGAACAATTTTTTCTGAAACTTGTCATGGTAAAAAATTTAAGAGAAATGATGTTTATAAGTTATGCTTTACATAATCAATGAAGTTCAAAACAATGTCAGTTTTGCTCAGATTTGATATCATTAAGGTCTAGAAAAGTACTTCTTGAACTAATGAAATACTCAAAAAATCAAAAACTTGGAGGGGTTTTAGTGTTCATTTATAATTTTTTCAGGCGAACGATGACACTAATATGGCGGGTTACACTGACCCAAATGCGGACCCCCCTCCCTCCTCTGCGCCCTCTCAGAACGAGCCTCGCAACCCCACCCGGGTGGTGAAGTTTGCCGTCTATTTGGTCATTCTGCTAGCAGTGGTGGCCATGTGTATGCTGAGTGCATTCATGAGTATCAGCACTCTCTTGCAGACGAAGGACATTCCAGCGACGACTTACAAGCAGAAGAAACAAACGGGTCCACACAAACATACGGGTATTAAACATGCTCAAACTCAGTTGATCTTAATCGACGTTGAAGCCAGTTTTGACCTCGATAATAATTAGCATTTGATTTAAAATCGGATCGCTTAGACTGGCCTTTTCAATGTCATTTGTCATTTTTTTCTGGCAGAAAAGTTAAAAATGGCATTGTTAATCGTAAATCCAGTGATTCAAAAGGAAGCAAATACCAAAAGAAATAGAAACAATTAGTTAGATTCAGTTTTTTCTTTCAACTTTTTGGTTGATAGCCAAGAAAAGGTTGAAGTAAAATACCAGATTTATTGTCAAGTTTTGTCTTTTCATTCGGAAACTATTCACGTCAGGAATCATCTTCATGGCAAAGGGACTGGATCTGATCACGTGTGAGACTTTCAACTTCACCTCCCTGAATATAGACGAGCTCTTCAAACGACCCTTGTTAGTATCATCGCATATTCTATATATAACAGAATGAAGGATGGTGGTTATTTAGCAGCAAACTTTCAAATACAAGCTCAAAACGACATTTTTGATTTAGAAAACTGCCCAATTATTATGAAAGCTGTCAGTTTGAACTTTTATTAGAAAGATTTTTGCGAAAACAATCTAATGCCCTTCCATTTGTACCGGAGCGACGTAATAAAATTTACCAAAATTTTTCCATAGAAACAATACTTAAGTACTTAATTGCTAAGTCGATCAAAGTCGAACAACGTCCGATAAAGTCGAGCAAAGGCAAAACAGATGAAATTGAACAAATCCTTGAATTCAATTGGTTAAAATTAGGTGTCAGGAGCGACAGTTCACCCTGCACTACTACGACGAGATCCCCTTCTACCTGGAGTCCAGTCTCCACGAGATGCTGCAGTATGTGAGGAAGGAGCAGTCCCAACTCACAGCTGTCCTCATCCGGGGTCCCGCAGACTGGGGCAACAAACAGACCACCATTGCCCACGTGACTGTACCCCTGGACCAAGCTGGAACTTGGAGTGTCATTCATCCGGACTTCGATGAATTGTCAGACCGGTACGCTTATTGTATAGTACACAAGATCTCAAACTGATTGTCTGAAGGAAAATACTATTATTGATGAGCGTCTGATTTTCGGCTCCAAGTTTCGCGATTTTCTGCTTAAACTTTGCAATTTTCTGCTTCAGTTTTTGTCTGGGTTTCAAAAGCCAATGATTGTAGGAAGAACTTTTTCTGGATATGATAACTTATGCTAGGTAAAAAAAAATTTTTTGGTGCATTTATCTTTCCTGAATATCCAAATATCTTCAATCAAATTTACCATAAAGGCGAGGGACAAGCTACTTTGTCTTCAACGCATAATCATACGTAACTATCGAGCAAGCATCTGAAAATCCTTAAACTAATCGATTTTTTCATTTCTTTTGTTTTGCTTCAGCTTCGCGGCATCGAGTTTCGAGGGAGCGATGACTCACTTGAAGTGGGAACTAAGCCAGGACCTGCTGGACGGGGGATACTCCATGAACCCAGTGTCCAGTAACTTCCGAACACTTTTCCTCATGAGTGAGAATGTGTTCATGAACTTCGGAAATGTCGACGCCATTCGATTTGAGATGGAGGTCATTAATTTAAAACTAAGCATTAATTTAAAACAAGGGGGGTTCTTTTCAGAAATTTTGTCGATCTTTCTTCTAGGTCGACCAAATTGATTTTATGAGCTGTCCCATATCACTAAAAAGACCCTATTTTGACAAAACTTTCTGCGCCGCTGGCAAGTTATTGAAAAAACAGGCCAAGCTGAAAAAAAAAACGTTTTTAAGTACTTTTTGGAAAATGTTGAACAAGAAATCGCGTTTTTTTGGCCCGAGCTTCCTCCTCATAGACAATAAATATTGGCGACTTTTGCGCCTTTAGAAAAATTTTAAGGTCCGTAAGCTAAAAATTGATACCTCCAAATAGTCAAAGGTAGGGGTCGAAAACCTAAGATAGGCAGATTTTAAAATCATACCCTGAAAACAGAACACGATATGCGCATGTTTGTAGAATAAAAGTATCATTGCTAAAATTTTTAACAGTGCTACGAGTTTGGTTTTCACTTATATTATATAATAAAAAACCTGCAAACTACGCAGGAAAAAAAATAAGAATCTTTTTGTTTTCATTAAATACTACAATTCTATATAACACTTGGAACTTTAAAAAACCTTAAATGAAAAAGCAATTTAGCCAAAAAAAAACGAGCTTAATCTTAAAACAGATCAAACAAAACCTTTGTTAAAAATACTGAAAATTACATTTGAAGCTGAAACTACACAAAAGATAGAGAAAATCCATAAACTTAACAAAACCAAAGCCAGCCATTTGAGATTTGAAATCCATGGTGAGCTCCTCTGTAAAAGTGTGAAGACATTTTTATTTGCTATTTATATCAGATCAGGAAAAATTATTCAGAAAGCAACAGTTTTGTGCGGTGACCGTTCGACAAGCATATAAATTCCATAACTTTTGAAATATATGAATTGGCGCATATTTGATAGATGGATTTCTGAAATTGCAAAAAAACAATGGTGGCATGTCACGGAGCCGAATACCCGAGTAGCCAAAAAACTTTCGTCCAGATTAGCCGAAAAAAAATTGTTCCGCAAGCCGAAATTTTTTGTTTCCTGTTAGCCAAAGAATTCAATTTGCTCAAACCAAAAATCAATTGCCTAAATTATTGAAATCCGTACCATATAATGAAGAGGTGTTTTTCTTTATGGCTCTTACCTCAAAATAACTTTTAGAACCTCGCAACAGAAAAGTTCAATGATTGGCGAAGAGGGATAATTTGAGAAAATGGAAAACATTAACAAACTTTTTTGTATTGACTAAAACTGAGCTATTCCAAAACACTTGAAAAAAATTTTTTTGACAAATTTTTTTTTACGACAGAGGTAAGAATTTGAAAACCAATTTTAGCAATACATTGGGATTTGTACAAATATTGTCGCACACCCCCCATGTCCATTTCAAGACACCTAATTTATATTGCTTTAAATTGGTTATTTACTGGATAAACTATAAAAATTGTTCCCAGGCATCGCCGAAAAAAAGTTCCGGATAGCTGAAAAAAACTGCATATCAAAATAACCGCAATTTTATTGCTATCTTATTCCATGAAAGCAAATATATTATTACTCAACGACAATTTTTTAGTCTATCGACTAATATGAGTTTAATTTTTGCGATGAATTTGTCGGATTTGATTTAATGTTAATTATTTCGTTGGAAAGCTAAGGATCTAAGAAAGGCCCTGTTATAGTTGTCATTTCACTTTCAAAAGAACCATAAAAAAGAACCATAGAAGTTGACTAAAAAAAATTTTCTGTAAAAAGCCAAAAACTGAATTAATTTTTAACTTGTAGTTGAGAGTTTTTTGTCTACTATTTCATACAAAAAACTGTATGAGAGCTTATTTTGGCTCTTGGCTTTCAAATGAATACTTTTAAGTTTCATAGTGCTTCCGCTGTTTACGGTTTTTTTCGCTGCTAAGAATAGATTTCGATGCTTTCTAATTAAATGGCCAAACGAGGTCTTGGAACCAATTTCTTACATTTTGTCCGGCTACTATTAGTAAACAATTACATTCATCAGATAACAAATTTTGAACCATGAATATCGAGTAGTTGTAGAGAAAACGGCAGAAACGTGAAAAAGTTCTCTTTCTTTTCATGTCTTGAAAAACAAAAGTTGCAGCTTCTATGACCCGTGACTGTAATACTTTTTTTTATAATCACTTCTATTCATTAACTCAACTTACAGTGCCAATTTTTATCCTAATGGATAAAATTTTCGAATTTAAATTTTTTTTAGTCCAGTTCACAAGATCACAAGATCGTTAGAAAAATTGCAGAAAAATCTAATGAAAAATTTCTTTTTCTTGATGTAGTCTGAATTGTTTATTACAAGATTTTTTTATAAATAATAATGAAAATTCAGCTTGTGATGTGGTGTGAATTTGCTAGATTTCTCTGATGGAGAGCAACAAGAGTGCCCTGGACAGATCAGTGAGAGACAGGAGGGGAGGGGGGACTGACTTGACCCAACTGCAACACATAGAAGTGCTGTACCAGTGGAAGGACAACTACTTCATGCTCGGCGACTCGTGAGTATACATTGTACTCATACTCGTGAGTACTAATACTCGTATATAATATATAATATAATATAGAAAAAATAATATAAAACTATAATATAATACAAGGGCGGATTTAATGGGGGGGGCGGGGGGATCCAACAGTTTCCTAAAAGTGCGTAAAAATGCTTTTTATGGACTTTTTCAAATTTTTACTTGCGGTGCGGAAATTTTGGCCAAATCAGGGTCTTTTTGTTCCGACTTTCGATACGAAAGTAACGGAATATTTGTGCTCGGGGTGGGTTTTTTTTTCCTTCAGACAAATTTCGACTTTTTAACTAGCCTTTTTTGACGGAATTTTTTATATCATTCGAAAGGTATTGTTGCCCTGAGCTCAAATTTGAAAAGATATTTCACCTGTGATCTTTTTTCGTAAAGTTACGGGGGTTTAAAGATTGCCATTTTGGCCAATTTGGGACAATTAACGCGCGATATCTTTCGCGCTATTAACGCGTAAGCGGAGAGTTAATCCGTCTTAGACATCATTCCAAATTGGTTAAAAGAAGCTTATTTGCCATAATTGGTTTGTTACAAGGAGCGAAATCTATCCTTTTGTACTTTAAATGGCGTATGGGGGGATGATTTTCACTAAAAAATTTCACATTTTAGAAAAAAAAAAATTCTTTTGTTTTGTTTCATTGAATTTTTTAATGTTATTACTGCTCCATAACCCTTAAAAGGCAGTCGGAACATTCAGGGCTTCGCCCTGATACGAGCAGTCTTGTTAATATTTTGAGAGAGCTCGGAAAATCAAATTAAAAAAAGAAAAATTTTGAGTTTTTTTTTTGAAAATCCGGGGTAATTTAGGAGGGGTAGGGGGGACGCTTCCTTTACTCAGGGATTCGAGCCCTTCACCACCCAAAGGGACTTCTCTTTGAGGTTATTTTACGACATCCAATTTCGGACAACTGACTTTTAAAAGTCATCAAAATTCAATACATTTGGTTATTCTGTTAGGTTGTCGGGAGAGATCAATAAATAACCAATAACTTATCGAAAAAACTGTTTTCCTTTGCATGAGTTTTAGAGTGATGTTTACGGTCAAAAAAATTATTGAGAGAACTTAATTGACCATTTTAATGTCCGCAGTTTTCATCAAAAAAGTGAAAAATTTGATTAATATTTCATTGTTCCCATGATTCGTGTTTTAATGAAAAGCGCATGCAATTATAAAACCATCATCAGCAAAAAAGCGATAAAAATTACCATATGGTTTAGCGAAGTTGAATTGGTTCAATATAATCGCCTGACGCTAATCGATTTTTATATGTCAAGTGACTTCATTTTCATTCGCGCTCGTTACTAATTTTAATATGCCAACTGTCTAAATGTCAGACGAAAGAGGACGTTATTTGAATTCAAACTGTGACTAATCAGCTGTTTATAATAAGTTAAAACTATTTGACGTGCGGCCAACTATGGCATGCAATTAGCGGTTAAAAATAAAGACCGTGAAACAAATAGTCATTGTCGCCGCAAGAAAAGAAATAACGAACTCAATGAGGTCATTCTCTGACTCATTACAAAAGACGTCTTTTTTTCACCCAATTATTTAGCTCAATTACTAGATTGGATTTTTCCTTACGACAGGAAATGAGTGATCTTGTCTATAGTCTAAAAAAGGAAGGTTCATTCGAAAACTCACTTGGAACACTCGACAATTTTTTTAAAAAAACTATTCATTTTACAAAAAAAAGTAAAAGAAAAAGTTTCATTCCTACATGCGAAGAGTTTTGCGATTGTAGCTTAGATTATTCTTCAGTCAACGTTCAATGATCAGTTCGCAAAAAGAAAAGAACAGTAATCAAGCAAAAAAATTTTTGTAAAAATAAACCAGCATTCAAATTTTGAATAACTTTTGCCCCGGTGATTTTTAAACAGTTGTTGTTTTTTGAAAAAAAAAATCAGTCACGGAAAACAGCCAAGGGATGCGATTTTCTCTACAGACAATCAGGGCTGAAATTTTGAAAAATGATGGATGAAACTGTTCATAAATTAAGACAGGGAAATTTTTATCCAGATCTAAGCTAAGCCCTCATTTTGATTTCTCATTAAACAAAAAAAAAACAATTAAAAAAATACGACGAAAATACTCAGCTAAAATACTCAGCTACGACGAAAATTTGAAGTCAAAATTTGGCCTTTTAACAAACCTACTGCTTAAGTTCAGTCAAACCATGTCCAAGATATTAACTAAGTTCATTTTTTGTGAAGGTGAGCCTGTGGTTCCCACTTTTTTATCTCAAACATATTAACACTATACAAATTCACTCGCTGCTTTTTGTTGCCTTAAAAACTAGAAACCACTGCATTTTAAAACGATTGCTAGAATTTATTATCGTTCTACTCTAAAATGAAAAGAGAACTCATTTCGAAGGGGACTTCGGTAAACATCAAAGAATAAAACACAAAAGTGTCGCCATTTATAGCCAGACAATTTTGCCCTACTTAACTTGCGTAAGTTTTGAACAGCATTGACCTTGCCAAGATTTCGGATTGTTACAATGATTCGAACCAAAAACGACCAATCAATCAACGAACTTTGAAGGCGCGCAAATAATTAAACGTTCTTTGACTAAAATTGGCGTGATTTTTTAGACATTTACAGCTGGTAAGGAAATTTTAAAAAATCGTTCCTAGTCCCAACATAACACTCCGAAAATCAGCGCTATTGTCCTGGGATTAAATTGCTAGTGAACGTGCCAAGTTCTTGCGGTTAGATACGTTTTCTTGGAGTCTGCATAAAAACGTTTTTTTTTTGAAATATCAAAATTTAAAAGTTAAAATTTGAATTTCAATGATAAGAAAGAAAAAAAGACACAACTTACTCTGGCTTAGCCTAATAAAACGAATACAAAGGATAGAATTTTATAGGAGTTATTTTATAAGTTTCATCGGCCAACGAGAAAGATGATTTTTCGAGAACTCTCAGGATTTCGAGGCCACCGCATAAAACAATTTGCTCGTGATCAATGGATTCACTGTCATACCGGATAAAGTTTCCAAGTTTTCAAAATTTTGAGGGATTTCGAAATTTTGCGCAAAAGGCATGATTTGCGTATTAAGATTTGGTTTCTCACGTGTGCACGCAGCCGTTTCCATCAGTTTGTCTTTATTTTGGAGGGCACACTTAGTGGCCAAATCTTCTGTTACTGACAAAACGGCACTGGCAACACCGACAGTCGGGGTAAATCTCTCGCTGAGATTTTTTAAATGCTGTATTGACATTTTGGGCATCTAATTTTCCGGCTGAAATGCCATGGTGATGCTCTCAACGCCTCTTGATCAAACTGTTGATTTCTGTAATGAAAGGTGCTCGATATCTTTGTGTTTGGTGTTTGAGTGTTAATTTTGGTGTTAACTTTTAAAATAGGAAATTTTTGTATTAAAAATTGTATTAATTTTGCTTGGTATTGAAATTATTAGGTAATAAATTGTACGGTGTTAAATTGGCTGGTACTAAATTGTTGAACACCGAGCCTATAGGATGTCCTAACCCTACTTCTCCAACGAACAATTTTATGTCGAATTTTTAAACTATTTAGCCGGGATTTTGTGACTTAAAGGACACCTCTCCGCTACCCCCTCCCCCAATCAAATAAAAAATTACACCTTGGAACCAATTTATTCCAATTTTCTGTATTCTGATAAACAGTCTCAGCCATCAAAACTTTAACAGTGCTTCTCTAGCAGTTGTGGAGAACGACAAAAAGTTGAAAAAATCTGGTTATTTTCATCGCTCGAAACTAAACATTGCCTTTCTCAGTCCCGTGACTCCAGTACATAATAACCAAATATCAGCTTATTGAGTGAATTAGACTGTTTTTTAGTTTTAGTAGATAGCCAGAGTTCTACTTTTTTATACAAAACAAACAAAGCAAGGAAACAAATAAACTCACGCTGAAAATTGAAAAAAAAAAATTAAAAAAATAAAACTTTTAGTAGACTAATAAATCAGAGCGTTTTCAATTAAACTATGTTTTTCTATCTTGTTCCATGTTGATACAGCTCTCATGGAATTTTTTTGATGATTTAGGAGTACAATGAGATAGGCTGTTCAAAATTTCAATCTAGCTTTTCATAATTGGCAGATACCAATTTTAGTCCGAGGCAGTACCTAATTGGATTAAAAGAATTGCTCTCCTTGAAAACAATCGCTTCTTCATCGACCTTGGTTTGATGGACTGTCAAATTCTGAACCTACAAGCCATTTTCTAAGTTTTTTTCCTTCAGATAAAATAAATGTGGATAAAGTATAGCTCCAAATTTTGATTTCGAATAAAATCTTTTTATTTTTTGATTAGAATAATTTTTTTTTTCGTTTTTGCTTAACTGAATATTAAAAACTCTTATTTTTAGCGAGAGTACTTTGATTTGTTGCTAGAAATTTTCACAACAATATTCAAGCTGACTTATTACTGTATCAGCGTCTTCGACAAATATTATCAGCGAAAAATGTTAAAAGCATCATGTTTAAGAGAAAACGATTTCGTTTTTAATTCAGTTTTTTACTAGCATCCTCCAAAATATTATTTTATATGCTTGAAATTGAGTGTGGCAAAACTGATTAGTCTCCTGAAAAAAAAAAGAACGGATTTTTTAAAAATCAAAAATGCCCGAACACAATTGTTGAGTTTTTCTATGGTATCAAGAAACAATCGCCTTCGAGGCCGAGTTTTTTCAGTTTTCTGCAACAGTTAGGAATTTTAAGCTGATAGCAACGGCAACCCCCCCCCCCCCCCTACCCCGCAAAAAAAATAACTAGCAAATTTCAATCGAAAGCCAACATGCAAAATTCTGCTAACATAAAACCTGAAACAACTTCCTGACAAGTGAACAATCTCCAGCTTAAAAAGAGATTTAAGAGGAAATTTCAAATCGATTTTGTTTTACATTAACAATTCTTCTTTTTCCACCCAAAAGTATCAATATTACAAAAACTATAGTTCGATTTTGTTTTTTTTCTCTCGTATTTTATAAATGATGTTTTTCTCTTCTTCAATGTTCCTTGCGTAATTTCACCGATGATATTGGATTGTCAGGATGACCAAAAATTGCCCTTTTAGAAATTTTCGTGAGGTTAGTCTTAAAATTTATTGCAAAGCTTGGCACTAAGAAGTTTTTGAGAAAAAAATTACTTGAAAAATATTTTCTAAGATTATTTTTATTAAAACAGACAAAAATGCTGCGCTGTCGCATTGTACAATATCATCCCACTTAAGGCACTAGCCATTTTTTCTTGAGTAGTTGCCCAAAACAATATGCCTATTGCACCATAAAGTTTTATATTTTTCTGTGATACTTATCTGAACCCCACATAGGACACACTCTGAGCTGTATAACATTATTAAGATCAACGTTTAATATAAAAATTCAATGTTATTGATTCGATTTTTGAAGAATTTTCTTATAGATTTTATGTGGAACCATTGTTAAAATCAATGTTTTTCCTCCTCACTTTGACTACTTCAAAAAAAGTTTTGGAGTTTTATATTTTTCAAGATAAAACTTCAAATTCAGCCTTAGCTCGGATTTCATTAAGAACGATTCTCGGGTGTTTTTTTTCGCTTTTTGGAGTAAGTTTTTGACGGTTTTTCTGAAAGTTTCTTGATTTTCTGTACTTAATTATTGTAATTAGAACAAAATTAGCTAATTGCGCAATCGGCTATCTTTTTTTTCATCGTTCTCATTGATTTCTGTCGATTTATGTGAAAGCATCTCAATTTTGCTAGTAGGTTTTTTGCCAAACCTTATGAAGTTTTAGTTTTTTAGTTTTTTCAAACAAAAACACCGTCATAAGAGGCTAAAAAAAAACAAACGTTTTGAGCAGAACAAAAACAATTCCTCGTTTATCATTTCAAAAAAGTCAAATTAGGTCTCTAGGGAGATCAATATCTTCACAAATACCCCAGACTGGTTATTTTTGGTATCTAAGCCTTAATCAGTTTTCTAAGTCCTAATTTACGTGCTTCTGTCGAAACATTTTGTGCTACTTGCAGAGCAACCGGCTTTTTTCTACTTGTTTTTAAAAAAATCTAAACTTGATTCATTACGATAAGTCAAAGTCAATTAAATTGAAACTTCTTTTTTCTGCAGGTAATTCAATCATACGCAATTTCAGAGAAAATGATCACAAGTGAAATATAATTTTTCACCTCAAGACAACAATAAATCATCTTAAAACCGCCTTTTTTTTATCACAATTGACAAAAATTGATTCCTTGAGCTTAGAGTAAAAATCTATTTGAAGATTTTGGACTTTATGTTTGGAACTAATTTTGCCCATGTACTGTCAACTTTCGCAGTTTTGTTCCGACCATTTGAAACATGGGGAGGAATTATGTATTCGGGTGCGTTGTTTTTTTTGTTCTGACCCTTTGAAAAATGTGGACGTATTTTTTTAATCGGGTGCCTTTGAGCTATTTTTCTGTTCCTTTAGATTATCTAAAAACTGTGAAGGAAGTTTTTATTCGTGTGTGCTTTTGGTTTTTTTCTTTTTGTCTTTTTCTCCCGCGCAAAATCAGGCAGTTTTAGCAAATTATTCTTTCACGGTAAATAGCCTTTGGAGTCAATGGATTCGTGTGGTATGCTAAATTGAGAGCAATGCTATCAGTCATGTTTCGAACGGCATTTAAAAATTTTTAAAAATTTTCTCAGTATCGAGGAAAAATGGTTTAAATTTTTTTTTTTTTTTACTAAATTTTGATCGAATAAAGGTAGCAAGCAGGCTAACAACAGCTTTATTATGCTTATATTGAGCCCTCAAATTTTAGTTCTAAGCAAATTATGCTTAATTGTTTTTTTTTCTCAAAAACTTCGTCGAACATTTATTCCTAATTTTCTTTCAAATATCCTAAAATTGATAGTCAAAATATTGTTAAATTGGAGATATGCTTATTTTTAGTGGGGGTCTTTTTTACGGTCAAGGAGTGAGAACAGCTATGGATCCCCATCCCCTCACTAAATTCAACCGATCTTCATTTATCGTGAGAGGAGAATTCTCTTACCTGATTACTAAAGCTATCTGTTTAACAAATGTTCTGAAGAAGAAGAAGAATTTGAGAGCCTGTATTTTCCTGCTTTTTTGTAGGTGATTTAAATAAGATAGAAGAAAGTCAAACACTTATAGTCAAAACTGGTTCAAAAGGCTTCACGCGGTTACTCTCAAGACATACCTGCAAAATACAAGATCAACTATTATCTAAACGTTCTATAAAGCTTCGGAGTCTATATGTGATTAATAGATCTGCACCAACTTTCTGCGAACTATCAGAGGCTTCTACGTCAAATGCTTGGTAAAAGATATCAAATCACAAACGATTTTCACAGCAAAAGTTTATTTCAGAAACACCACTCAGCATATTTTACCTCCAATATATAGTTGGTTAGAAACTATCTACCCCCTTTTGAACATGCATTAAAGTTCAAGTTGAATATAGTCATCCAAAAACAATCACTGCTGCTGAAATTGTTTTATTGTACTGAAAAAAATTGAGCAGTAATCTCAGTTAAATTAAAACTTTTTGAAGAGTACTTAAATTTAATTTTTGTGTTACTCCTCAGTTATCAAAGCTTCTTCAAATAAATGGATGCCATAAAATTAGATGAAGCAAGATAAAAAGAATAAATATACATTATACCACTTAAAAGAGTTTAACATAATTACAACTAAATGTCAGTTCCTTTACTTAACATTTTAAGAGTTTCCATATCATATCCGCGACTTGTTTTTCGGCGTTGTCAGTCACGTCGATGTTAATTTTGTGACCGGAAATCTATAGACTGGTCGAAAAATAAGTCGCGCATGGTCAAAAAAATAGTAGCTGCACGGCTGAAAAATATAGGGGTTTTGTGCCCACGCTTTGTGCGGTCAGTTTGTAGAATTTTTTGACAAAAAGTGTTCGGCCTCTTCACAAACTCCATTTCCGCTTGTGCGATAAAAAATTATGAGCTCAAAAAAGTGAGCTCAAACAATTTTGAGCTCAAATCTGTTCATCATAATATATTCTAAACAATTCGTATAAACATTTTGTTTGTATTTCAATAATCGTTGGGAAAAAGATGCCCCTAGTATATCACTATTAACACTGAAGTTTTTTCTTCAAAATTTTCGTTGTGTAAGTTGTTCAAATTTCAAACCAAAGTATTTGAACTAATCTTGCTGTCTCAGCTGAGTTTTAATGTAGGAGTTAACATTTTTAATTCAGTTTGCCCAAAAGTTTTTGTTTCACAAAAATTTTCCATAATTAAGCTACATATTAGTGCTAAAATAGTTGACTATATTAAATATATTTTGAGCTATGTAATTCCATGATATAGAACGAAAATGACCTCGAAACGATTATTCTACTCAATTATACGTTCACAAACAATTTACAAATATTGTACATTCAAATAACAAAAAATTAGTACAAAATTATTACCCGTCAAGGAAATCTACAACCCACATTTGCATGATATGGACATAGCTTTGAGAGATACAAAAACAATTTTAGCGAATATGTTTTTAAATTTTCACATCAAATCAATCTAAATAATGTTTTTTGTTCTGCTCTTGTTGAAGCTAAGCGCCGAACCGAATAGTCCAACTGCCCTTCACTGTTTTTGAAAATTGTTTTGAAAACTTCAACTAAAAATTTTTTCGTATTCTGTTCCAAAAAATTCTGCTATGTGATCAAAGGCAAAGTGATGTTTTTAGCGTAAAGTATTGTAATATTACCACAAATTATCTTGCTTTAAATCAATTTAGAACTAATGATGAGCGGATCATGGTGCTCCCTACACGTTGGAAGCACAAAGAATTTCCCGTGTTAATTGTCCCAAAACGGCCAAGTCGGCCATTTTCAAACCACCATCCCTCGTCACTCTCTTCAAAATTTGGAACAAAAACTTTCAGAACAATTTTTTCTTAGACGCAAATTTCAAATGTGTTTGAAAAATGGAGTCTAACTTTTCTCAATTAATCAGGAATGAACCAAAAACAAAACTGCTCCTATCAAGGCGAAGCCCTGATTGTAACTACTGCCGTTTAAAGTCCATGAACGAATTTGTTTGTAAAAAAAAATAGAACACATATCAATAAGAGGAACCAACTTTTGATTTTCTTTTTCCATTTTGTTTTAGTTTTTTCTTTGTCAAATGACAAATTTTGAGTCTGGTAAGGCATTAATAAAGCCAAATTTTCAAAATTTTCCAACTCCCATAACTTTACGAAAAAAATCACAGGTGGAATATTCTTGAACCGAAGATGTGTATTTATGGTAAATTTGCGCTGATAGACTTCTTTTAACTGCCATTAGCGTGTTCAATATTACGACAGACTTTGCAATGAAAAGACTGAAAGTTGAAAAAAAACCAGAAAGATTATTAGGCGCATAAAACACAGCTTATTGTTCCGACTTTTAAAGAAAGTGAAGGAATATTTCTGCTCGGGGTGGTTTTTTTCTGAAATTATCAACGAACTAACCATCTTGTAGCTGAGTAAATAGCCAATTGCAGGCTGTGTGTAATGATAGTTTTTTTTAAACCTTAGTCGGATTTCATGGTTCTTTTAGCTTGAACAAATGCAAAAACCACTGCTGAAAGAATCATTTTCTAGAAATTAACAACTAAAAATTAACAACTAAATAACTCACTAATTGTTAATTACTTGCAAACTGTGCGCAGAATAAGTTTTTGTTATCATTCTGATTTTGTAAACTTATATACACGAGCTAATGCAGACACAACTACTTAAAGGTTAATTTTTTCAAAAACTACTTAGTTCACTAATTAAGTCACTAGTTAATAACTACTTGCAGACTGTGGGCAGTGACCGTGTGGGCCATAGTGACAGTAGTGTCCAGTGCACTTCTTATGGTCGAGAGGGGATACAACACCCTCATGAAGGCATGGAACCAGGCCAAGCCGAAACCCAAACCAAAAGAGGACCAGGAGGCCCTGGTTGCGAACCAAGAGAACAGTATCAGTCACGATGACAGAGAGGTTCAGAGCAGAGCTACCAGCGGGGACGGTGCTGGCAAAGCATGAACACTTAATCTAAAAATATAATTTATCCCAATGTTTTTGTTCCAGAGAAAATTTAACAGATTCAACTATTTTGATTCGCCAGAAATAATGCGAAGCACTGAAAAACGGCAGCTGGTATTTTAACAAATTGAGAAGACATTTTGACGACATGAATACGATTTGATGACTTGGGACCGAATCAATTCGACTAGTTTGATTACTTGGTTATTCACCAAGGAGGCAAAGAAAAACAAAACACTGCTTCATACTAGACAATCGTCTCTTTTCCATTACATTCTCTTTTTTGGACCAGCTGAGTTTAAGCCCAGGGTGGCTCACATATAGAGTAATTTTAGATAAGGTACACCGTCTGCTCGTCACGCTATCTTATTTTCGGCCGGATAGATTCGTGCAACGTCTTAGTCTAACAGCAATCTTAATCTTGCTCTTATGTCTCCTAGTCTCAATAGATCTAGCGTATACTGGTATTTGCGGGTTAGATATCTGGAACTTGTTCCAAAGGAAAACAACTGTCTTCTACGTTATAGTCAAATTGTTCTGGTGCTGAAACTACAGTAAAAAATTTAAAAAGTATCACAAAGTTGTTTTTGCAGATTTTTTTTTAACTTTTGAAAAGTTTGATTCCCAAAATGCCATTAAAAACTCCAAAAGTTAACATTGATTGAGTAAAACTAAGTTTTCAAGTCTTAAGTTAAGCTTAAATGCACTTTCAGAAAAACTCATTCTTCAGAATTTTCATTAGTTTGATTTAAATTTTCCGAAGTTGATGTGGTAAGCTAGTGCGAAAGAGAAAATTTTTTTTGCACAGATTTATGATATCTGTTCTTGAAAAAAAAACAGAACATTTCTAAAGAAGATTCTAGCGCTTATTTATATGGTTCCTACTCAATCCAAATTAAAATGAGGCAAACTGCATTTGGTCTTTAATATTTGACTCGAATATGGCAGTTAAAAATTTATAATACATCAGCGGGTTGTTAAGCAAAAATTATTCGAAACCAGTTAACGGGTAGTCGGAATAATCAGGGCTTTGTCCTGATATACGAGCAGTCTTGATTATTCATATTGCTTTTGGTTTGTTACTAAGCGCGCACTGAAGTTTCAATGTATAATGATCGATTATATTAGGCTTTCATAGTCAGTATCGACAAAAGTCAAAAATAATCGACTTTAACCGATTAAAAATGGTTTATGGTTTTCTGTTAGGCAAATCAAATAAATCCATTTTAATCGATAATGAATGATTATCATGCATACTGATTTTTAAAATATTTTTATCAACAAATTTCAAACAGAGTGTAGTGGTTTCACAATCTGACAGTTGCTTTTGGCTAGCAAAGTTGAAAAAATAAAAGATGCATAAAAAGAGACTTACTTCAGCTGTTTTGAACTTTTCCTTTCACAACTTCTACAATTTCACACAATATAATTTTTTAAATTCTCAAATTTTGTTTACTTTTTGTTACACACTCCCATATCCATTTTATTTCTCTCCTTGTCCCCGATCTTTCGTTTAGCTTCCTCTAGACCAAGGAAAGAGGGGTTTTCTACTGAACTTATTGCCCAATCCTATGATCCACCAAATTAACTCCCCCACAGTGGGGAAGTAAAACCTAAAGGTGGTGAACTGGGAGGGCTATAAAGCCAGAGGAGGAAAAATTGGGGTGTGGGGGCAAGCGCTGGAAGGGGGGTTGCTTACAGGTACGAAGTTGTTTGTTTGTTTTCTAGTAGCAGAACTTCAAATTTTTCACAGATTAAGTTTTTTGCCGATATAATCCGATATCATCTTTATTTTCCATGAAACTCTAGTGCAGGAAAGCATAGCTGTCAGACTCAGAACAAAAATTAACTGCAAAAAACTGCAACTAAAATTGCAACGGGCCATGACGCAGAATTGGATCCAGGGCTCCAAATATGGGTTGAAATCCGCCATCAATTCCGTCACATGTCAGCATTTCTATAAGAGTCGAGACTTTTTTGACATTATAAATTCTTCCCATTGTTATCAAATGTCAGCTCATCGAAAGTGCAATTGCATAAAATTCTAATTATACCACTAAGCAAGCACGACTGACAGCATTTTGAAAAGAGCAGCCAGCCAAAAGCTTTTTAAGCCTCAAGTTTGAAGATGAAATTCCATTCTGCATATCAGAAAGCCTCTTCATAATACTATTATTAGCAGAATTCAATTTAGATTTTACAGAGGTTCTATGAATGAATGAATACCTTGCTGCTACTTAAATCTCATTAAAATTCACTTCGGTTCGAATCGGTTCTTGAAATTCGATCAAGAGGTAAAATGAGCCCTCCATTGGTTGACACTGAGCATGAGCTCATATTAAAACAAAATGATTAAGTTTTTTTGAAAGATGATTTTCTTTAGATTTTGTTTTGATTATAGTTTTTCAATTCAAAAAAGTAAAGTAAACTCTAGACGTCGAAAAAAGGAGTAAATTTTGTAGCAAAATTTCCAGATTGGGTTCTTTTTAAATTAGTTTTTCTCATACACTTTTTATTAGGCCTATTCTGATAACAATGGATACGGCCGAGGTTTTTTGCGGAGGTCATTTTGACTAATTTGATTTAAAAAACTGTAGGAGATCACGTGTGTTATCATTGATAGACCTGTAACCGTTTCCGGGTTCCAAAAAATTAATGTCGAATTTTTAAACTCATTTTTCTCAAATGTGGTTATATTTTGCCAAAAAAATATAAGACAAAATGCTTGGCAGGGGCGGATTTAGGGGAAGATGGGCGGGGGGGGGGGGAAGGGCGACACAAAGCGTCCCCCTTTGGTACTTTTTAAGAAATCCATTTTTGGTGACGGACCCTAAAACTTTTCTAAAGGCGCCTTTGGCGCCAATATAAAAAAAACTTTGAGGGGGAGCGCGCGCCAAAAAAAACGCGGATTTTTGCGTCAAAACTTTCCAAAAAGTGCCCAAAACAGCGTCTTTTTAGTGCTTTAGGAGAGCTCCGAAAATTTGGTCGAGCTAAAAGAAAAAAGGTAAAAGTTTTCGAAAATTTTTGAAAATCCCTCCCCCCTCGAAAAAATCCTAGATTCGCCCCTGATGATTGTAATTATACTAGCTTTTTATAGAGCATTTTTAACGAAATTTTGAACCACAACTGCACCCTAAAACGGATCAATTTATCTGGCTCGAGATTGAGGAAGTAAGCAGGGTCAATTGTATGGAACCTGATCTAAACTACATTTTATGATTGGATAAATTAAATGTTTTACCAATGTAAAGTATTTAATATTAACCAATCATGATCCATCTAACTAACAACCCACTTATTTGTAAGTGCTGAAGTTACTTGTAATTTCAGCACCAGAGAGATTTGAATTTAACTTAGAAATTAGTTGGACTCTCCCGAGCACTTCAGCAGCCGCAATAAACCAGTATACCCTAGATCTATTGAGCCTAGCAGAGACTAGTTAAACAACCTGAGACTAGATAGTATAAGAGTAAGATTAGGATCGGTATTAGACTAAGAAGTTGCACGAATCTATCCGGCCGAAAATAAGATAGCGTGACGAGCAGACGGTGTACCCTATCCGAAATTACTCTATGAGTTATACACTCCAGTCATAACTCATCTGGTGCGACCATAAGTCTCGAACAAGACCTTAATAGATTAGAATTAACCAAAATAGATTAGAAATTAGACAAAAACATTTACAAAATGTTATACGACAATAATTTAATCGAAATGTCTCTACGACTCAATAGATCAGAGCCAATATTCCGAACCATAACAGAACTACCCGGAATTGGAAGAAGACCTCGAACCAAAGACCACATACGACAAAGTAGAAACTTGCCGTATAGTTATATGATAGTTCGGCAAAAGCCAGAACAAACTTTTATATTTAGAATACTACTTGCAATGAATTTAGATTTCCATTTGCAAACATAAAACCTTGAAGTTACTCTTCAAAATCATTTCAGGCGCTAAACAAAATTATTAATATACAATAACGATTGATAAAAAGATCTAAGATCGTTCTCCTAAAACTCTGCAGTAATATACAAAATATGTTTGAAAAATATTTATTGAAAAATAAAAATAAAAATTAGTAGCATGACAATAAATGGTTAGTAATCATAAATCATCCTGTTGTTCCAGCTCCATCATCTAAAACATAACAGCAATCATAAACCCACTAATATCATCAAAACACTAAATCTTTCCTTTACACACATTTAAAATTTTATTAAAACTTAAATTCACTTAATTTTAAAACCAGATCATCAAGGCTTATCCTTGGATCTTAAATCATTTTCTACTTAATTCAATTTCAAATTTGATCATCAAGGCTTATCCTTGGATCAAACAGAACAACTTTGTTCTCCCCCACCCACTTAATTAGTGTCTAACGACCTCAAACGTCGATTCACTACCCAACCCTTTCTAAAGACCTAAGACTAATAGAAATTTTTAAACAAAACTAATCATTCAAATTAGGATAAACAGTGAAGAACTTCGGTTATTCATCCTTCACTTGACCCCCCCTCTTACCAGACCCAGGATAAATCTTAGACTTAGTAAGTTTAAAATAGTATCTAACGAACTACTCGCGTTCTAATTATACCTGAACCTTGTGGATCGATTTACTATTCTCCAACCCTTGAACACAATCACTACCCCTAAGTAAGATTAAGTAAGTTAACACCTTAACTTTTACTAGCCACGAGAAAGTAAAAAATCATTCTTCGGAATCGATATACTTTTCTCTCCAACCCTGAACAAAAAGACCCAGGTTAAGCTAACCAAAAAATCGTAAGAACTAACAGTTTAGGAAAATAGAAATCATTTAACAACCCTTTGCATCCGTCATTCTAAACCTTATGTCATTTAAGAACCTAGGAAATAAACAAACAATCGTTTTACACAATTGTGAAATTGAAAACAAAAAATACGACCTTGTAATCACACCTCATACACAAACAGTTGGATACATTCGAACAAAACGACAAACACTAAAAAGAAAAATAATAACGAAACAAAGACAAATAA